CGTGCGTCGACCAATTTTTCTAGGCTTGCGTCGAAAGCGACGGTCTGCTAACTACATCCTTTACGGAGTCTCACATTTCCGCTTTCATAGCACGATACCGCCATTGTTAAAACGAATGTTCGCGAGAGAACGGAGCAGATTGAAGAACTGTTGTCGGAAGGAATGCGTAAATATGACTGCTTATACAAGCCATAAGCGGGTTGGATTCATGGAGGGAGATCGCCACAAACGCCGGTTTGCAGGTCGAGAGGTGCACAAAGTTGTGGAGGGAAATACGGGACAAATGTGTCCTTGATGAAAAGCAGCAGTGGCGATGCACGGGGCAATAAAGTCTATGATGAATAAATAAATATAGACGTGACTCTCTAGGTCGTCTTCAACAAAAACACGTTACTCCGCCTGTTGTTCTGGAGGTGAATTGCTCTGCAACACACGCAAGACTTTTAGAACCATGAACTGAAACTGCGCCAACGAAACAACGCAGAAGCATGCACCAGCCTTAAGTCTCACAGTATTGAAATAGCTACAATCATTATCAACCGACATAAATATGATTGGACTCATTGGATCCATGAGGGTGTCCGTTTACACACATACCTACTTAACGTAATAGTAAGAATGTTTAGGTACCCCAATATCCAGAAGCAATTTAGAATAGGCCATAATAACATTTCTACCGTGTGCACAAAGTTGCAGGATTTTTGCCACAAACTGCATGGAATTAGCATAAAGAAGGCACGGCTGTAGAGGGGAGACTTATGGGAACCGTTTTCATAGAAATATATTAAGTTGTGAGGTAAATGGCTGTGAATGTGTTCATGCCCATTTTGCCCTCACTAAAATCTTGCATAACTTCCATCCATCCATCGTCAAACCGCTTATCCTGCACACAGGGCCGCGGGGGGTGGGGTCGCCAGCCAATCACAGGGCTAACACAGAGACATACAACCATTCACACTCACATTCATACACCTACGGGCAATTTAAAGTCCCCAATCAACCTGATCCCCAGAGCACGTCTTTGGACTGTGGGAGGAAGCCGGAGTACCTGGAGAGAACCCACGCAGACACGGGGAGAACATGCAGACTCCACACAGAAAGGCCACTGGGCAGAGTTGAACTCAGGACCTTCTTGCTGTGAGGCGACAGTGCTAACCACCACGCCACCGTGACGCCTAACATAACTTAAGAATTCTAAATGTTTTCAAGCTCTAGAATCTAGTATCTAAAAGACCAGGATGTCAAGAGAATAATGTAAATTAAATTCCAGGTGCTGCCATTTTGGGAAATATGCACAAACCGGGACAGAACAGGCACAGTATCATGGGGTGCTACAATGAGGAATTTGTGTTGGGTAAATTCTTATAAAAAGGTATAAGTGCAAAATGGCGAATCTTCCAGGCGGTATTAGTACAGCAACAGCCACTATGGTTTATTTTTTTAACACTTTTATACAATTCCCCTAAAACTGAAGGAGAGCACTTATTTGCCACAGTGGGAAGAATGAACCACCCGGAATAACTTCATAACTTATATCTGGTACTTAAAGAACGCTGAATGCTTACGTTTTTTTAAAAACATGACTTCATGAGACATGTAGATTTGTTAGTCTCTACGATCAGCGTTCTGCTCCTCTAGAAGGTATTTTGACAGATGTAACTTAAGCCACGAGAAATTGTGTTCTAGGACGGCAATTACATCAGGAGAAAACTTTTTCTTAACTTGCAATAGCAAATTTCTACAACGTTGAATCTGAACTATTCCTCTAGTTTAAAACAGACCGAAGGGGGGAATCCATACAATGCTCAACTTCAAAGTACCAACATTACCCATTAAAAAAAGAATTTCAGGTCAAGAACATTTTAAAATAACATATCTCTAATCAAAAATTACCTGGTGAAAGTCCTTGCCACTGCTTTTACCATCGCCACTGAAATCCACATGAGAGAAGAGACAGCGTAGTAAATGCCTGTCTGCCTCAGGGCCGTGACGATTAACAATCTGGGAGAGCACAGGCAAAATGAACCAAACATGAGACCACAACCGGACGTTGGAGTACACTTTACAGCTATCTGTTGACTAATGTAGAAAACCACTTACATGCTGTATTTCTTGCTGGCTGGCTCGGTAGTTTTTCTTTGTTAAATTGTCCACCAGATAGCTGATTTGAGACAAAGCCAGCGAAAGCGAATCAAGATTCATTGCTAGTTGGGGCGGAAGCAGGCGGCCGAGCACGGCGCAAAATCACCATTATTCCCCTTTAGTCACTTCAGTGATAGGTTACTTCTGCCCCCCCCTCCCCTCCCCAAAGAATGAAAAATGTTTGCTTTCAAAATGACTTTTCCAATCAGTGGCTCCCGGTGCTAGGTAAGGTCCTTCAGTTTAAAAGAAAGTTCAGCATCTGAAATGAGAGGACAAACAAGTTCAGACATTTGTTTTTAAAAACGACAAATACATTACAATAGAAATAAAAACAAAAAAAGAGCCAATAGAATAAAATGTTGAGCTTTGCAGCGTTACTTCCACGCAGGACAATATTTACAATCAAATCCTGTGACAGGATTCAAGGCCTACGTGCACCACAGAGTATAAGTGTATTTTACAGTCTGCTGCCCGGGCATTCATCTGCAGATTCATTCACTAACGTTACGGTCAATACGAATTAAAGCAATAGTTTTCGTCAGATACGTTTTTGGAGTTATTGTAGTTATGTAAACATGCCGTGCCTATAGCTTATGCTTAGGCCTCGACTGCACCCAAATATCTGGCACAGAGAGCGAATGCTAACGTTGGTTAAGTTGCTTACCAAACTGAGCAACTTTCTGTTTAGAATAGCGTGATAACTATTTCCGCTTTATCAAGCAATTCCGAAGAAAGTTGCTTTAAATGTAGCCAACAGGCCGTTTCTTGTGACTAACGTTAATGGACAGAGAGTTAACGTTACAACTCGCCCACTGAAACAAAGAGCAAGCTAATGTGAGTTAGCAAACGTTACTAGCAGGCTATCGAAGTCACCGCAACATTTCACGTTACCTTCCGATTAGCTATCGTAAAATTATCAGACACCCTAAAACGATTCGACGCCAAGTTATTATGTAGTTTTAAAATAACGCGCACATGTGAAGTGGGGAGACGTAACGTTAGCTAACATTACCATGACGCTGGTGAACACTTGCTAGAGGAAAAGTTTGAGAGAACGGTAGCGAAAATCTTCACAGGATAAATAAGCATGCAAAATATGTTACGCTGTTGCTAACTTAAACATACTCCATCCAACAGTCATACGTGTAAACTAATTAAAATTACCCATCTTTGTCAATACGTAACGATAACCTATGTGAATTAGTACCAACTCCCCGTTGGCTACAAGCTAATGCTATCAAGTTAAGTTAGCATTTACCTGAAGCTAACATTAGCAACATGAGACAGTTTCGAGCTGGTTAGAATCCATCGGCTAAACCAACCAACGTCTTGTTTCTCGTGTATTTATTACTATGTTAAGTAGCGATTTTATCTACATAACTAATTACGAATGTTTCGACATCGTTACAATTGCCTTTGCCATAAGCGTGGAGGCCCCGTAATGCGGATGGGGTTTGCGCGATCGCGCAAGCTACCGTTAGCAGTAACCTTGTTAACGTTAGCTTATTTCCACGGCCACTGACTAATATACGGAATCGCCAAGATTATGTTTGTTGGAAACGCCAACTGCCCTGAAACGGAGCGTATACGTGGCATAGAAGCCCCGTCTCCGTCCAAAATGTGGCTAATACAGTTGTAGAGAACTAGGTTATCTTTGTTGAGCTAAACTCGTTGCTAAATACAGAAATTAAGTTGTTTCATGTAGCCAATATGACAGCTGCTTTTCAGCAAATAGCCTATGCCCGCGCTGCTCGCTAACATTCATCGTCCACATCAACATCGTTGCCTGCGTGTAGTACACAAACCAGTCGACGGTTGTTAACCGACCATATTTTAAACCTCACCGTGCTTCCAAGAAAGTAATTCAGGTGTTCATTCCCTTCTTGTTTCGCACAACAAACTTGACGAAATGGAAGGGTCGCTGTGCCTCCAGTTCAGTTTGATTTTTTCAAAATAAAATGGCGACTGTCACCGCCGCGGCGCGGTCACGGTTCGCGATGGGTGCGTAAGCTTATCTGCGCGACACACACGCAAGGTGCTCGCCAGCAGACACCTGGGAATCAAGGAGGGTTTTATTGTTTCTCGGTGCCGATGCCAAATAACGGCATTTTTTTGGGGGGGGGGGGGGGGGGCAATTTATAACGAAAATTTCAAACTAGAAGGGCATTCGTGAACCATGTTTCTTTTGTGTTAATTTTACGCGTTGGAAAAAAAAATGCACAATATTTGCGCTAGAATGACATATTAAGCTCACACTGCATCTCTACGCCCCGATTTTCAGCAATACTTAAAACTGGACAATCTAACTTTAAAACGAGCATTCCACCAATTTCACTAACGAAGCTCAAACTGGCACCCGGTGACGTCAGCCGACAATTTAGCATGACAACATGTATATAAAATAACAACATTCATCACCTCAAAAATGAGAGGTTTTTGTTAAATCCAATGCTGCTGTTATTTGCATTAGCAGTCATTTTCCAACATTAATCTACTGACCACTCTCACTGTAGGAATCATTTAGGTGATTTGATTGTAAATCCTCGGCTGTACAAAAATATTGAATTGAAAAAAATGTGATTTTATTTGACTCTTATGAAAGTTATTTTGCCCAGAGCTGAACAGCTGACCAGGTTGCCAAAATCGCTGTATTTGGGCATACATGGACTGTTCCCTTTTTACGTATTACCCCACTCCCAATAAACTCAGGCAATCCGGATAACAACAAACTACCTTTTCACGTATGTGTTTTGTATGGTTCGCAGAGGCGCATCGTGTGGATGCCGACATGTAGGATCCATGCGAGAAAAAAAAGGCATTAACTGTCTTTGTCCAGCAGGCGGCGGTAAATACTCGAACCGTCAACTGTGAAGCGAAGAGTTAACCGCCGGAAGAAGAGCTGCACCACCACCACCACCCAAATACAAGGAGGCTTGTAATAACTGGCGTTGGAGTAACGTTGGCAAACACCTTCTTCCTCTTCTCGGTGGAGGACACGGGGCTTTAATAGGGCGAAGTTGCGGCGCGGATTAAACATGTCGTCTTGGGCGAAATCCTCCGCGGCTTCCCGGCGGCCGACGGCCAACGCGAACCCCAACGGAAGGTAAGCCGAGCCGGGGCCAGCTTAGCATTAGCAGCGGGGCATGCTAGCTAGCGGCCGCGGGGTCGGTGGTGGGGGGCGGGGGGGCAGCGTGGGTTCTACAGAACCGATTCGCAACCTTTTTCCGGCCGGTTGTCCGCACGTTTTAAAGGTCTCTCTCCCCTCCACACATGTGTGTTGCGCAGTGCTCAACAGCTGCGCCTGTTCCGGAGAGCAGCGCCGTACCCGAGCCGAGAGGACCGGACCGAGGAGCTCAAGGATGTCCTGGACAGGTACACGTCACCTGTCCGCCGCCAGCTGATCCGTCCTTGTTTTTGATCAACAGTTCAGATTGGTTGGGTTATTGTGGCATCAGTTGGCCCGGGATAGCTGGGGCCTGGTTCTTAGTCAAAGTGGGTTAACCTGCATCTTTCAGCAGCTGCGTGCTCGTGCGCCACAGGTGGTGTTTAGGAGAGAAGAACCATCCACATCAACTAACGTTAGAAGACAGTAATAGACCGGAAAGTTTTTCACTTTTTTTTTTTTTTATTGGGATAGGAATTACTATTCAAATGTTAACCTTTTATTAAATTGAAGCAACAAATGTGTCCAAACTTGCAGAGGAATAAAAATAAAATAACATATATAAACATAAAACTGATTTGGGTTTTGCCCCCGTCGTCGCCAACATCCAGTCCAGAAAGATACGGCGTCTTTATCGGCACTGTAAATCGATTCATCCCGACTGCGATGCAATTAGCAGTAAATTACACCCGGGTTCTTTGTAAGTTACTTTGGATGATTTAAGAAAGCGTCTTTGGTTGGTTATGATGCCTCCCATCGTGTGGTCACCTGTTTCCCTGCTTCTCTTTCAGTTACGAAGAACTAGAGCAAATCCAAAACTACAGTGGAGGCGTGAAGTACGAGGGGTACAAGCACCCGCCAAATGGTGAGGATATCTGTGTTCTAAAAGCACAGTCACAACGTTGCAACTTTTTGTATTATGCTCAGTTCCTTGCACAGCAACACACCCTTCTTTTGTAACGAATACAAATCTTCTTAAATATCTTAAATAAAATGAAACTCCCATTTCTTCAGTGTATCCCATTCCTTTGCGTTTGGAATAAACTCATCTCATGCCGGGGTCCAATAGATGGCCATTTTCATTGGCATCGTTTATGTGGATTTCAAATGAACCAAACCTCTTTTTATCTTTCATCTCTGTTCTCTTCCCCCTTTTCTCCCCCTTTTACTTCCCCTTCATCCCATCTCAACCACCAGCCAAGCCAGACGGCTGCACCCCAGCTGACCGGCGTAAATCGCTGTATCAGAAGTTCTACAGACAGGTGCAGGAGGAGAGGAGGCCGGCCGACTGCGTGGTCCTCTCCGTTACCAACCAGTGCCTGTGAGTGCTCGCTTATTCAAATCAGACCGACAAGCACTGCAGGTAGAAATGAGCTTTTGCTTCTAGGGGTTTGCACTAGATTGCTGATTTCATTGCTTTAGTTCAAAAGCTTTGTTCACCTTTTTACTTTACCGCGCTCTAAATTCCCCGGAATGTACGTCGGAGGCGTTGAAATCCAAGTCCACACCCATGAATGATTGCACATTGTAATGTTTTGATATTTATTCCTCCAACGATAGCAAGAACAATCCCCATTCCCCCCCCAACGTTTTCTGTCCACTGTGCAGTAGATGTACGTGAAATTTGACTTTCACGTTCACACGTTCTCTCAAAACAACGTCACGCACTTAAAGGTTCCAGATGTTGCATACCGGCGGCTTGCTACCCCAACACAAGACCGCTCTACTTCTCCAAATGACTGGTAGAAGTGCACAAAACATTTACTCTCGCTGTTAAATGTAACATCCACAATATATGCACGCAAGACACTCTCGCGCAAATGGCAAGTGTGAAGCCAAACCGGATTCAGTAACCGTCTGCATCCATGTTGCGGCACAGCTACAGTAGTTAAGTAGCCAGCCGACCTACTTGGAAGTACAAATGGCGCCGGCGCCTGCTATGCTGCTGATCATGAGACGAGTCTGGAGTCGGCGGGCCCGTCCTGATCATGAATCCGGTCCAGAGCAACTGTTCGTTATACCTTTTTAACCACAACAAACCCTTTTTTTTTCTTCTTTTTATCAAGTTGTGTTAATTTTTTTTTTTTTTTTTTTTTTTAAAGAACACATCGTTTTGATTTAGAGATTAAATGTCAGATATGGATATCTCAGTTCTGGTTAAAGCACATATTTGTTACCCACAACATTAGCTCATTACTTTATATCCTGTTTCAATTTTTTTTTTTTTTTTTTTTTTTTGAAAACCTGTTTTTGAATATAAAACTTAAAACCCCAGTAAATTAAAAAGGCAGCTCTGCTGTTTGCTTTGATGCTTTGCATTAACATTGAATTCCGATGTCACACACAACAAAAACACATCTCAAATCACACGTGCAACATGAAAGTCTCCCTCTGTCCCGTTGGCTGCTGCTGCGCTGTGTGCAGAGCAACTGCTAGTGTGATCGCGGCGAGCAGATGCGGCTCATTACATTTTTTTTTTTTTGTTTCCCCCGGTGTTTGGGAGAAGGGCTTTGCCTGCTCCTCTTTCGGAGGAGGCGCGACTACATGTACACCTGCACCAGAACTGGGGACTAATGTGAAAGCCCAACATTTACCGTTTGGCGCTTCACCATCGTGTCACACGCAGCCAAAGCGCCGCCACATCCAGACATTCACCCACGGAGGCGTCCGACGCCGTCCTTCGACAGAGTTGCAAGCTGTCAATAGCTGCTAGTGCAGTTGTTTGGTGGTGGAAAAAACCCCCCACAAAAAAAGCATTCTTTGCAAATTCCAAACAACATTCACTCAAGTCTTCTACATGAGTAAAAACCCTCTGTTTTTACATGATGTTACCTAAACACATACTTGCTACAAACACTAAATGCATCCACGAGCGAGCCCAAAACATGTTTTGCTCCACATCACGCGGTCTAATTTAAGGATCCATACACACGGATTTCACCACACAAAAGGAATGATGAGTCTCGTTGACCTGTCTGTTGGTAAAGCACGTTATACATCGAGAAATAACCTTCTGTTCCTCTCCGATAGATCCTGTAGGTTTCTCTATATGCAAGCTGAGCTCACTTTAATACCGACATGTCAAGTTAACAAAGTGTTTTGTCTTCCTCTCAAAGGGATTACCCCAAATCGCTAAGCCTCTGCTTGCAGGAGCGTGGCCTGTCAGTGGAAATGCTCTACCTTCAGGCGGAATCGGGCCTGACCCGAGCTCTGCAGGACGTCCGAGCAGACGGCTCCCCGTTATGTATTCTGGTGGAGCAGACAAACGTAGTTCTGTCCTCCTGCACTGTTATCATATTCTCAGAATCCCTCAAAAGTAAGTCCGTGCCCCTCATTCCTTCGAGCTTAGCCAAAACCACCCCAGTGACAACCCTCCCACCCCTTTTCCCCGGCCTGTTACAGCTCACGCTTCACTTGGATTCTAACGCAAACCAATCCTAAGTACAGAGTTAGCATAATAATGACACAGAAAAAACTCATTTAAAACACCATCAAGTACACTTGGAAAGCTAAAAGTCTGCATTCAACTGCAGAAGATCTCCAAGTCCATCAAATATCCGCATCATTGATTCAAAATATACGTTGATAGCTCATCATCCACATGCTGCCACTGTAATACACGCCGACATTACATAACAATTCTACTTGACAAACTGAGAAAAGCCCAAAAGGATCCAACTTGTATAACATCGGGGTGGTTCCACTTCAGAAACATACGTTGCCACAGTAATACGTGTCTTTAATTAATGAAGCAACATGTGACACATTGGAAGCCCCACAACGACGTTTTAAATGCACAAAAGAAATAAGCATAACGCAACTGACTAATATGCATTATTTAAAAGGACATACAACTGCACAAAGGGATGTTTTTACACAAAATGTAGTTTAAAAAAAAAAAAGAAAAAGCCAAAATACATTCTTCACAACAAAAACAATCACAAATCAATGCATGTGCTGAAAATGTAATAAAGTTAGTTGTTAATCACACTGAATAATGCAAATGGCCAAATCGTTAAACGTTAATTCTCTCATTTGTGTCACATGTCTGAATGCATTGGAAAATAAGTGTTGTGCATTCTAGGTCCAGGAACATAATGCAGCCAGAACTAAAGTTACTGGTCATTGTCACACACAGGTTACCAAATCCAACCCGATTCCCTCTCCTCTCCCCCAAAGAAGCACAACTTGCATTCTATAATTCCACTCAAAAGGGCAAAAGTATCCGTTAAATCTGCTGACACCACATTAAAACAAATTTAGACGTCCGTGTGCAACCAGTGAGGAACTATGGCTGCCCCAAAGACTACATTTGGGGCTCTGACGCTCCAGCGAGGAACGTCGGCCGCATTCGAAGCTTCGACGGGTGCTTTAGAACGGAGGCGGAGTGACAAGGTGTCGGATGTAAACTGCACTTTTACTTTATCAACGCAAGATGAAGACGAAAGAATGCACTTTAAGGATTGATCACTACAAATTAGTGCAACAATGACACACACGGTCGGTCCTGATGAACAAATGACTGAATGGATCGACCATAATCTGTGAAGCCCAAAATCAAGCTTTTCAATGCGCGCGCACACACACACAAGCAGTCTGAACTCTTTGACAATACTCAGAATAATTCATGTTAATCCATAACGAACAATGTGGAATTGTTATTCATTACTAGGTAGTACAATTGGCTTTTATAAAAAAACAAGGATACTGATTTGGACATCGGTTACCGCGGCAACGGTCGAAGCTTCGAAGCATTTGGGTCAGCCTTAGTACGAGACCACATGAGTTTACCCGCATTTCTACGGCTTTGTTGTTCTTACTTCTGTCCCCCGTCAGCCCCCCCCGCCCCCCTGACACTTCACCGTTAACGTTCCGTCCCCTGCAGTCCACCGCAACATGCCCAAAGACCAGGCCATGGACTTTGTGGCGGCAGAGTACGGTCGCAGACGCGCCAAAGAGCGCCCGCCCAAGGACCCGGCGGACAGTGCGGCGCAGGCGTCCCAGCTGCTGGATGACTTCCTGGAGCGGGAGAAGATGGAGCGCCACGCGATCCCCTCCGAGACCCGCCAGCTCCTCCTCCTGTTGGCGGAAGGGGTGCACCTCTACCCCGAGGAGCTGCAGAGCCTCTCGGAATACGTGCGTTCGCGGCAGGAGCACACGCAAGGTGGGCGGCCCGCCGGTCAAACCGGTCGAATCCTCTCGGCGCCGCCGTGACCTTTTTTTTTTTTTTTTTTTGACGTTTCCGTCCGCAGTATCCAACACGGAGGGGCAGAGAGGGAACATGTTGCCTCCGGGGCTGGGGAAACCGCCTCCCCTGCTCCCCACGCCACCCGGGCCACCCCAGCCCCAGTCCGCGGCGGACGCCGGCGGGTCCTTGATGGACCACGCTCTGGCCCCGGCTCCCCTCTTGCCCTCACCAGGTTCGGCTGCACAGTTAAAAAGGGGTCTTTTATGTAGCGGCGTAGCAACCAGGCTCAAAACAATGGAATCCTCCCCCGGGTTTTTTAAGTAGAACGCTCTATTTTCATGCAGCCGCTCGCCTCTAAATGGACTTTGTCTTTTTAGTCGTATCGCTGATCTAAAACAATTTGTTGTGTGTCTCGTGTTGAGATTCAGTGTAGTGTCTGATTGGACTTGTGACGCATAACTTCTCATTTTCATCTGCATCTATCACATGTATGTGTGGTGCTTCCCATCGCCATGTCCTGTAATCTCCTGTCTTTCTTTCTTTCTTTTTTTTTAAGGATCATATCCCAAAACCAAACCTCCTCCTCTGTTGTCCTTGCATCGGCCCCCGGGTCTATCGTTGGGGGCTTCTTCGTCTCGAGGCCCACAGTCCGCACACAACCCTTACGGGGTCCCTTCCTTGTCCCGTGGACCCTTACTCCATCACCCCCCTCTATACCATCCGGGCCCCAGAGGCCCGCTCCTTAATAGAGTAGCCCCGCCTTCTTTGAAGGGTGCCCGCCCTCCGCTTCTCGCTTCTCCAGGTGGGTCACTTCTCCTTTTTTTTGGGATATGCATTTTTCTTTTTTCCTTCTGTAAAATAATGTGTATAAATGTACACAGAAAAACAGAATTAAATCCAAATACTGCAGATAAACACCTAATTAACAGCAATTGATTCTAGTGAATTAACCCTGTTTTACATGTGATTCATTTATTCCCCTGTGACCCTTTGATTAGGTGCCCTTCTCCCAAGACCGGGTGGCCCGCGACACTAACACACACACACACACACACACACACACTATTACAAATGCAGGCTTCAAGTGCCAGAATTGTTTTGGACATTTCAGCTAACTCAAGAACAGAAGACTCCTGCATCTTTCAATTGTTTGAGTAAAAAACAGATGGTAGTTAATGTGAAATGATGTATATCTTTGCGGCGGATTGGTAAAGGAGGACATTAACTATCTTTTGCCAGGTCTCTCTGTTGTTACTGCTCTTTTTCTTTATAACGTAAAGTATAAAGTAAAATAAAACGTCTTTCCCTATTTCTAGTTTTCAGTTCTTATTTGGTAATATTGGTTTTGACGATGGTGACCAGCGGCTCAGGACAAACGCCGAACATCTAGTTGGAGTTGCTTCATTCACAAAATGTCCTGGATACCAATGTTCAGCTGGGTAATCAACCGTTTTCGTTTTTCTGTACATAATGCATATAATAAGTAGCCTACCTGTGGTTCGAGATGGTAGTTGGAGTTGAGGGAAGGAGTTTATCTCGATTCCCTAACGGGCGCGTGAGCGGCCCAGCACGTGTCACAAGAGGTCGCTTGTGATGTTTGTCTGTGACGTGTGATCGCCGTACCCGATAAGTCTCAAGATGACATGTCACGGATTTATGGAAATCAAAGTGAAGAGATATTGGGTCTCAAACAGCTGAAAATCGAAGCCGTGCTCTGTTTGTTTTCAGAACTTTTTACCCGTCGGCTGAAACTGCAGATTAATCTGATCTTGGTCGTTCACACTCACTTGCAACACGTTATGACGTCGCTGTAAATCCGCAGCGGGTCACCGCTAGTTTTTCCCCGAGCACTTGTGTTTGTTACCTCGACCTGAGAAATCCTTTTAAAAACGTGTTGTAAAGGGATTACGCTGTGGAAACCCTTCAAGTGTTGCAGATCCCCTGTTTTGAAATCGGGCAAGAAGGCGTTGTGTTGCTTTCGGCCTTCTTCTGCGTGTTCAAGTGATGTTTGAATCCTCTTGCCTTGTAAACATGTACAGTATGTTCACGTTTGGGCTTTGTATTAGTTTTCTGTGATGTGCTTCAGTATTAATATTCAACATGTGTGGTGCTTCTATTTTTAAAGAAAACCTACTTAAATGTTCCCCTGTTTTGTGTTCTTTGGTTCACGCACTCTTATCTTTACTGACTGATTCTACATCTCTGAATCGCAATTCATTTGAGGGATTTTCAGTGTTTCAATGTGAAAAGTCTGCAATTTGTTTATATATAATAAATTGCATATGCCATCTTCACATGAATATTTAGACCATTTTGGATAACAAATGTTTTCAGTCAAAAGGCCTTGTTTAGGTTTTTCACATTCTTCCCAATATTGTTGGAGCTCTAAAAGGAAAAAAACGTTATATTTTTACAGTTATATTTTGAACTGTTCAAAATTACTCAAATACGTGCAGCCAATTTAGTTGACAAATGCGTTTTTCCTACTGTAATTACAGTCATAAATAAACAATCATTTATTTATTTGTTTAATTTATTTGATTCATTGAACCAATTCAAATGAACCAAAAATGATGGAACCGATGCCGTCACACATCTACAAAGAGCAGTTTGTGAAAACACCCGGCAAACCGCCACAGCGCTCCTCTGAGGTTTTAGGCAAACATGCTTTATTGTGTTTTATTAATAAGAAGTGTGTTTGTAACACCATGGAGCCGGTTTCCCCTCCTATTGTTTGATGGCTAAATAAACAGTGGTGACGTTATGGATTTGATACACTAGATGGCGACGTCCACCTTCTATTTTACTGGCATGCGCCACAATAATCAGGAATCAGGAAACATTTATTGCCGAAATATGTCAAACATACAAGGAATTTGGCGGTTGGTGCGTGACAGTAGACAGTGTAACAATAGACAAGACAGCAGTGCACAAGTAATCAAATAAAATAAAATGCTAATGCTATGGGTTAGTATAAAATAAGAGAATAACGTTAGTGCACTTTATTTTTAAATATTTTTAACTATCGGACGAGTGAAAAATGACGGTGAATACAGTTTAGAGGGAAGAAATGTAGAAATCTAAAGGTTTGTGCCCTCGCGTCCTCAGCTCATACCGTTTCTTTTCAGTCTCACTGCGCTTCTTGCTCCTCATGCTGGCAAAGACTGAATTAAAGATAAAGACTTACAAAATGTTGAACACAAGCAGGTTATTCCTTGTATTTTTAATTATTTTATGTAGTAAATCCCTTTCAAATGATCTATATAATAATAATAAATACATCTTTTAATGTTTGTTTTTTGAAAAAAACGAGACTTGGGAAGTTTGTGTGTGATAAAACGCAATCTTGCAGGATAAAACACTCATTCTGAATTGTGTGCGTTTAAACATGGGCCGTCAGATTTTTGGGGTAACTGCACGGCAGTTTGGTTGGAAAGACAAAGAAGGGCCAAATACAGGCTAAATATCCACGTAGTGTGAGGTGAGCCAAGCAGTAGTCCCTACTCTACTCAAAAAGGTTCATTCAATAGCATCTTACTCTTTTAAATCAATTAAATAAATAAAAATCATTCAAATGTAAACATATTTCAGAATGTATGAATCTATTTTGCCCATTTTGTTTTATTCCCAAAGAACAGAGATGCAATTTAAATACAAAGATGTATTAAACTTGTTAAATGTTTTCCACAGTTCCTTCCTTCCTTTTTCTGCATTAAGGCAAGAAAGAACGTCTTAGAAAACTGCTTAAAAAAAAATAAAGTTTTGTTTATCTAATTGCAAACACACAGACAGGGAATATATGTGTGTGTGTGTGATGTTCTCCTCCTGTTGGTTCCTCCTCCTCTCATCCAGCTGTGGACACACTGCTGCGAGGAGCCCATCAACTCAGGAAGTAATGGACAACTGTCTCCACCTCATTACACAAGCCCACACACACACACACACACACATCTCTTTCTAGCCCCGATTGGACACTGTGTGCGAGAGAGAATCTTGGTTAGAACATAAGCATCATACGTTGGTGTTCAAGTATCTCAAATTCATATCACAGAAATACACTACAGTCAAAAGTTTGGCTGCACTTTATTAAATTCTATATAAGTGCATTTTTAATTGTTTTCAAAAAACAGATTCTTCACCTGGAGATATAAATACACATGGCGTCACAAGCTCGTGGACCCTCTTGCAATTCTCCAATGTTTCCCCCCGTATCTTTAAAGTTAAAGGCCCAGTTTCTTAAAAAGCCTCATTATTCGGCTGATTATTGATGCTATTAATCAGGAAAGAGCTTAAATGCCACACTTAGGAAAATTATGGTTCATTATTTCTGCTTTTTCAATCACCAAAATGATGAATAGTCACACGGTTGTTTTCTCCGGGCAAATTTACTAAATTCTTCATTGAATGGAAAACCTCCACCGGGGGAGAAGAAAAGCAGTGTGTCAATAAAATAATGACAGTTGTTCATGGATTTATATTTGATTCTTAAATAACCACTGTTCTAAAAATATGCAACGAACAAGGGGAAAGGAAAGATTTGGGACCCAGAAATACCCAAATAAGTTATGTCCTTCTCATCGTCTCCTTCACAACGTTCCTCCCGTCTGCACCCTCTTCTTCCGTCGTTCTCCGCCTCCTTGTCTCTCTTAAGTTAAGTCATTTATTTTCCATTTGCGTTGCCTTTGTCCAAACCTGGATTCATTAAAACAGAAAGAGGAAACAAACGTTTTTTTCTTTTCGATTTTTTTATTAAACGCTAATTCCTTCTGCCTCCTCGTCTCCTCGTCTCTCCTGTCTCCTCATCTCCTTTTACCTCACTGCACCCTCCATCCTCCCCACTGGGAAACCTCCACCAATCAGAATCTATCACTCCAACTATTTGTGTCAGAATTCACAGGAACTTCGTCAAATTGGGAAACTGTTTCATTGTTGCACAGAACGCTCACCGCGTGTGTGAGAGTCTGTGTGTGTGTGTGTGTGTGTGTGTGTGTGTGTGTGTGTGTGTGTGCATTCCATAATGTTACCACGCAGACACCATCACACACGTGCACACACACACACACACACACACACGCATTGGGGTGTTAATTGTTGTGCTAACACCTCCCAATAACAAGGCTCTAATTATCAACATCTTTGGCTGCTGGGGTGTGTATCTGGCACTGGTGCCCGGATCGCGGGGTGAGCGTGTTTGCGTGTGTGCCAGCATGAGGTGTGGCACCAGGCGAAGAAGGTTTGATGATTTTTGAAAAATATGCCGCTGCGCTGGTGCGTACACGTGTGTGTGTGTGTGTGTGTGATGATGTCTCTGTCTCATTCTGCATTTGCATTCGACAAGGAGTTCTTTTGTCCTGTGGTTTGTTTGCAAATCATCTTTTTTGAGAAAAGAGACCATTGCGACGCGCGTCTGTCGCGTCAAGGAGAAGCGATTGTCAATGGAAGGACCTTAAATGAGTTACAGTCAAAAGTACACAGAGGTCACAACTACAAAACAAACAAAACAAGAGAGCTACGTTTAGTTATTACGCTAAATTAACACTAAGGGAAATGAGAACTCATTTGAAAGCTTTGTTTTTTACTCATTCAACGTGGAAAACACTCCGTTATTCCATTTGCTCAGGACTGCAATCACATTTCTAACTTTTTTTCTTCTGGTTTAGTCCTTAAAAGAGTGAAGTAATTACTGTGAGTTATCTTAATATTTGTGTTGCTGATGTGAACAGTGACCCAATGTTGCTTTTATCTCACAAATAGATTCGATGACGAATTTTATTCGATTCAACTTCACGTTTTCACGCGGTTACGCAGGTGAACTAGATGTCTGTCTGATGCCGGTGCAGCTGAATTTAAAAAGCAGCAACATTATCATCTAATCATTCACGGGGATGCCAAGTCTCAATAGCCTCCGAAAAGTAAAAGATGGTGGCTGATTGCTCTGTTACGTGCTTGGTTTCCACTGTTTGCCTCCCGATCATCTACCGAGAAATTGAACGGAAAGGAGTGTTGATCACAGCGACCGAAAAAAAGTCTTTTAAAAGACATTTAAACGCATCATTTAAAAATCTTATTTGTTGATGATTTACGTGCACTCTGTGCTCGATTGTGTTTGACTGTCGCTACGACGCAGTTCTGTGATTGTTTGTTCATGCCTGACAGGTGCGTGATTTGTACTGCATCCTCGTCCCCGTGCATTTGTATGGATTTAGAAAACCCACGTATAGTACACGTGATTATACATGTAGCGCAAAGCCACAACACGCTCCATATGGGTGCTGAAGATTAATGCTGCTTTGATTTGACCTTTTTATGAGTAATAAGAAAACTGGAGATAAAGAGCAAAAATATCTTTATTGGAGAGTGATAATAGTAATGACATATTTGCGTTCCATCTTAATCTGCCTTCTTCCTGCAAACCGTTGGCGTGGTAAAAAAAAACGGCATCTGGTTCATAAAGTTCTGCGACCGGTTACCGAACAAGGCCGCCGGTCCGACAGGCCACACCTCTCACAGCGCCGGTCAGTCCAACCGCCAAGGCTGCGGGGCGTGCCGCAGTAGGCGGCCCGGCGCGGCTTCCTGGCGGTTTGGTTTGACTGGCTGCCTGGTTGCCTGCCTTCCCGGGCTGGCTGGCTGGCTGGCTGGCTGGCTGGCTGGCTGGCTGGCTGGCTGGCTGGCTTGGTGCCATGGCTGGCAAGCCGGCAGCCGAGTCCCGAGCCGAGCCCCCTGCGCCCCGCCGGATCTTAATTGGGTGAAGTTTGTCCGCCACAGATAACACTTTCGCCTTTCTTCCGAGAGCAAGGAACAAAAAAAAAAAAAAAAAAAGGCCTGGCACTAATGACGCTCTTTAGCGGGGCTCTTTTCTGTTTTTCGATGGAGGGAAATTAGGAAGTGGAGGGGGGAAGGGAGGAGGGGGGGTGAGGGGGGAGGGTTCCCTGCAGTGAGAGATCGTCGAGGGGAAAACGTGCCTTTGTTCGGAGCCGAGCGCTCAATGAGAGCTGAGGATTTGAAGGAAGAACGAGAGCGGAAAGATGTAGATTTGGTGCTGGTCACGTTGTCAGTTTCTTTTTAGCAGCCTCTTGTGGCCGAGGCAGGCCACACACACACACACACACACACACACACACACACACACACACACACGCACGCACGTCTCATTGTATGCATGCGTATACTATTTCTCAGTGCTTTGTTCAAAAGAAATGCAATGTTCTCTAATTACTTTAGCTTCACTTCAACATTTCAACAGCCTCGCTTAGTGAACAGCAACAACAAGTCTTTGCACTTTGTTCTCCATGTTTTCATCTTTAAAAAACGTGGATGAATTGCTGTGACGTTAACAAACTAAATTGCATTCAGTGACACTCGGAGATAGATAATATTGGGTATGTTTTTTTTTCCTAAAAATGTGTCTTTTTTTTCAGAAAACATTATCAACAAGCCCCCAAAATCTCCATCAGTGTGAAGGCAAACCGGTAGTGGTTCTATGGAGATTTTGGCGAGGAAAAAAACGGCCCATCTGAAGAACGCAGTGCATCGAAGGTCACGTCGGTAGTTTGGAGGCCCAGGCCACATCTCCACATCGCATCCAGTGCACGTCACACGTGGTGGACAAAGAGCCAGAAGTGTCTGTCTGTTGCTCACTGTGTGAGAGCAAAATCTAACTCCGAACAACATTTTCATCAATTTAGACGAAATCCGATCCACATTTCCGAAGGGACCGGCCACCATTTCCAGCACCGTTTAATTTAAAGGACATTCATTATTCATCGTGATCATTGTCATCATCATCTTCACAAACAGCGCCATTACGATGAAATCTATACCAACCACTAAAATTAAAATAGTGATCGCCCTCGGAGACAAATGTGTTAGTATCATCGTAAGTATCATCATCATCATTGCAGCCATGTTTTGTTTTCTTTAGAGATTTCAGACAGCCGGCATTCTATGGCAGTGAGCCTCCCCCCTGTCTCTCTTTCTCCCCCCCTCCTCCCCCCACACACACACTAATACCTCTGCAAAGACCTCTCGGTTTAACAAATGCTCAAAACAAATATTAAAAGTAATTTAAATCTTTTTCCTGTCTCCATACTGACGGTTTATTCATTAGCCACTGCAGGGTGAATGTTCTCACCTTTGGCTCAGATAATGAATGCAGCCCACACACACACACACACACACACACACACACACACACACACACACACACACACACACATTTCTTAACATACGCAGAAGATCAACATGCCTTTTAATAATGCACTTCTGAACACCTCCTGTATGACAAACAGCAGTTAATCTACAGCGGATCTCACAACTACGTAAATGAATCACGCACAAAAACACGCGCACTTTCCACTTTTGGCATCGTGCACCCAGCCCACATCGAGTGGAGACAAAAGAATCTGGCGTTGCAGTATTTAAATCAGTAATGTGTCTAATTATTCCATGTAAAAATAGCCGATATCTAGGGCACAAGCATCGAGATGGAACGTTGTTGTCTTGCAGAGGGCAGAGCTGGCGGCGCTGGCGAGAGTTCAGCACAGCAGAAGACAGGGATGGGGAGAGAAAGGGAGGACAGGGAGGGAGGGTGGGATAAAAGAAGAGAGAGAGAGCGAGAGAGTGCGCTTTAGGCTACATGAATACAACATGAACTCCATCCGCTAGCGGCGGGCTAGCAAGCAGCACAGCGGGCCGGCGCTGAGGTGCAGAGGGAGCGGAGAATGGACCGTTGCTACCTGCTCCCTGCAGGGGGGCGCCGGACTTTTTCGTACCTGAGAGGCCGATAGGAAGGCGCGAGGCGCTTTTGTGGACTCCTCCCCTTTGCGGGTCAATGAAAACGGATGTGATTTTAGAAAAGCACTAAATATGGTACTTAAATAATGGGAGGCAGTTCTTCCAAGACAATGCACATAAAGTGCAACCAGAAACGTATAAACTGTAACCCGCCCGGCAAAGGATCTTCTTTGACTTGTCATCCGACCATGCGAAAAGCGATGGCGAAGGCCTCCGGTCACACGCAGACCCAAACGTGTGGAGGAACTGAGATTCTGTTGACACACACTGACCCTTAAATGAGGCGGCGCCCAAAGAGTCACTGATTGTTTGTTTTGCTTAAACTCGTCGTTCTGATGTGAATTTTGAGTAACCCGCTATTCTATATTGGCGAATATTCATTTGTTTTCTCCAGTGCGTTTGTGGGATTGGGTGAATCGGGCTTACTTGTCTGAAAAATAAAATAAAGCAAAACTATGAGACGAGTCTTTAAAGGGAATCAGACTCGAGCCACTCGAAGAGGTTTGAAGTTTGGCGCCACGCTGCTGCAAAAACATTCACCGTCAATGCGGAAATATGACTCGAGATAAAAAGCACTCCGTGGTGTTTATTAGCCTTGTAGCTCCCATGAGCATCTGATAAAACGGTTTGGGCTCGGTAACTTACTCAAACATGATGATTTATGCACACACACACACACACACGTTAATCAAAGGAAGTTTATTCTAATGACGCTCTTACGCCACAAACTCACTTGAAAAATCCCACCGCACGTCAGTTGACCGACTTATTCAGCTCCCTCGTTGCGTGTTAAAAAGACAGAAGAAGACCGCGTCCCGGCGGAGATGACAGAGGGTGTAATCGCGAGCTGTGTGACTCAACAATGCCTCTCAGAAGCCTTTCAGACTGGGGCCTGTCCTTGACCCTTAAGGAGCTTGTAATGTGGGCCTTTATTTTCTCTCTCCCGCTCTTTGTATTTACCGGCAGAGACGAGGAGAGGGGGGGGGGGACCCCCCACTGAGGGAGGGCTTTTGCCCCTCCACGCCAGAGGCAGTCACACCGGGGGCAGCTATGCACGTGCAACACACACACACACACGCACGCACGTGGATAGAATTGCACACACACACACACACACACACACACACAGGTCCCCCGGCGTGCACTCACTTCACAGGGAGGGAGAGGTGAAGGTTGGAGGGTGAGGCAGAAAGAGACAAAAGGGAGGGGGGTGTGTGAATCTTACAGGCTGCTCTGTTTCTCCGTGGGCGGACGGGGGGGAGGCCTATCCCGCGAGGGCAGTGGTCCTGCTGGTCAGCACTGGGAGCTCCACGTTTATCCGTTTATCCTGACAACCCACGAGGGAGACATGGGGGGAGGGCGAGATGCCGGTGGGGGGGGGGGCAACATGGAAAAGCTCAGCTGCGGTCAGAGAGCGCTCAGTTGGAGCAGAGAGTGAAGAACAAAGCAGCCAGTGATTTTCATTTTCTCCCCCCCCCTCTTTGTCTGCCTTATATTGTCCACAGACGTGTCCTTCTTTTCTTTACTGGACATAAAAGGAGCTTTGACGAAGACACACACACACACACAAGCAGAGACACACACGTGCATGTACACACTGGCGTGGCTAATTGAATTATGTTCATACAGTAAGTCAAACGGTTTATTTTCACTGTGACCAAAGGGGGCCCCTCCGATGTGAGAGAAAAAAAAAAAAGCTTTCTACTTGGAGGCGAAACGTCCCAATCGGCATAGAAAGAGGCAGCGGCGTTTAAAGAAATGTCTCAGCAGTTTTCAAACGCCGCACGGCACATCCCCGCGACACACAAAGGTCGGCGTTTGTCGCGCGCTCACGGCCGGACGGGAAGCGGACGTTTCGTGTGGTCTCGATCTGAAGTGCGGAAAATGTTCATTTTGCACGGACAGGTTCTGCTCAGCCTTAATGAAAAGGCTTAAACTAATCCTGTCAGAAACCGTCCCGCAGAAATTAATCCGCCGCAAACGAGTGAAATGACGAACGCTCATGCGACAGGGAGCATTTCAAGGTGAATAACGTCTTTAAGTCTTCTCAATATATGTTTCTATGTAGGGGTGCTGTCCACTGCAGGGTAAATCCATGCATTGGAATTGCAACGCATTCTCTCTCTTTATACCAACAATTACAAATAATAAAGTTTAATTCAAGTCCCACGACGCGTCAATTCCTGCTGTCGCCAGTTAAGCTGTTTGTTTTTGTCCACTCATAACAAGTGGTATGTCCAACCACCGGCATTTGTATTGTTCTGGGGATCCTGGCTTTGAGTGAGTGTGTGTGTGTGTGTGTGTGTGTGTGTGCTTAAAAGACATAGTTGGTCCCAGCTTGCAGTGCACATTACAAACCTCTGGCCTTCGTCGTGGTGCAGGGGTGGTTCAAGTCCCAGCTGCTCCATTTCCTCTGAGCAAGACACCTAACCCCTAATTGCTCCCCGGGGCCAAAATGCAAAATGCAAAAAAAAAAGCCATGGGTTAAAAAAATGTGGCTTTGGATAAAAGCCTCGGCTAAATGACCTGTAATGCAATTAGATGTGTAGGCTGCGCCCGGTGACGTGGTCATCCGGGCCACTTTCGAGGGAGGGGGGGAGGGAGGGGGGAGGGGGCACTAAACTACCCGCATTCGTGGTTTCGTGGTCTAAAATTCACGGGGCCTCTTCCGCACCTGACCTCCAATCCAAATCCACATTTCCCCGCTCGGCTCTCGCAGACTCCGCTGCAGTTGCGCCAGTCGGCCACTGGTAGGCGCTGTTGCCTAACTCTCCCCCTGCTTGCCCCTCTCTCTCTCTCTCTCTCTCTGTCAGCCCAGCCTGCCCCCCTCTCTCTCCCTCCCTCTCTCTCTCCCTCTCTCTCTCTCATGCCTCAGCCAACCCGGGCTGTGCCGAGCTGCTCCCTGCGGGATCAGAGCGCTCCCCCGCCGGGACCCTTCTCTCACATCCCCCTGCTGGGACGCGGCTACATTTCCAGCCAAGCGCTGCCTGCCTGGGCTTTATTATGTGTGTCTGCGCCGCAGCCCCGCCAGCAGAGGCAGGCAGAGGAGGAGAAGGAGGAGGAGGAGGGAGACTGGTAGCCAGAGTCAGGACAAAGAAAAAGCAGGGAGACAGAGGCTAGCGAGGGGTTCGGCTGGTACAGGCATCGGGCTGCCATTAAAACTCCTTGTAGTATTAACCAACAACAACAACAAACAAAAAAAAAAAGAAACGAGAGAGAGAGAGAGAGAGGGAGAAGGCGAGGGAGCGCGTGGGCTGTAGAAGCAGCGGGCTGTTCCGCGCGGGGTGGAGATGCCGGGGAAGAGCGCAACGTCCATGCCGCCAGACCGCCAGCGCCGCCGAGTGTAGCGCGGCGGGGACGGGAGCGAGCGCGGGAGGCCGGTCGCCTCGTCGTCGGGGGGGTGGGGGGGTCGGCGCCGCTTTTTTTTTTCCTGGATGATAAAAATCCCAGAACAGACCGAAATAGTTACGATAAACTAAAAAACGAAGAAAGCAAGAAAAAAAAAAACAACAACAACAACGGACGAAGCTTGGAGGAGCGCGCGCGAGAAGAGGAGCCACGTTTCGTTTCATCGGGAGCAATTTTTCCCCGAGAACATCCCGCCCCCCTCATCCCGTCGCCTCGCTTCACCTGGACGGTCACCGGCCGCGCTCACTCCTCCCTCTCCGCAGCGCCCCCCTCCCCTCCCCTCCCCTCCCCGGTCCGCGGGGGCCGGAGGAAGTCGAGAGAAGCGTACCTGCGGAGGGAGACGACCGACCCGACGCGCGCACGCACGGACACACGGAAAGCGGCGCGGCTGCCGCAGTGCAACAGGCGGCGGAGGCGGCGGAGGAGGAGGAGGAGGAGGAGGACGGAGAGCCCGGCGGCGGCGAGCCGAACGGAGGGACATTTAGAGAATAAAGGACATTTGAAACCGCACGGAGGACGAGCTTTCCCCCGCGACCGGCGATGTCGAGGCGAAAGCAGGCCAAGCCGCGCGCCGTCAAAGGTGAGTCACGTGCGCCGCGTCCGCTGCTGCCGCCGCTGCTCGCCCCCGGGAGCCGAGGTGTCACGTGACCCGCTCCCCGGCGCTCGTTAGCCGGTTTGATTTACACCCGCCACCCGTCTGCTCATCACCACCGCCCGCGATATGTTTATTTAATGCGCAGGTAAATCTTTCTCTCTTACTTTTACAAATCGCGTGCGCGCGCGCGCGCTAATCGTGCGACGGAGGTCGATGGAAGGAGTCAAATGTTTGGCGTCCAGTTTAATGTCGTCCTCCACCAGCTGGGAACGTGTGACGTTCACTGACCGCAGCGCGTTGGCGTTTTGAATCAACTTGTTGTGAAGGTGATCTGGGTTGTTGACTTGTGGGGCCTTTTGCTTTCGTGCGGTACTTTTGGTTGGTTGACCTACTAGCTGCTTCCCACCAAAATAACAAAGTCAACGTTTTCATTCTAAAATTCACCAAACTTCTAGGGAGCCGCAGTTCAGAAGGCCGTATTTGATCCCAGATGTTATGTCAGGTTCCCGAGGCTCCTCTTCCTCATCTGTCCGAGTCCGAGAAAAGTTTGAACTGTATTAAAATCCCTCTGTTGAAAAGCTACAGGCCCTGATGGGGGGTCATGTGGTGGCCTTGGCCTCCACGTTTCCTTCGTGGACCCGGGAAGGCCTGAGCATGTGGTCCCCTCCTCCACCTCATAGGGCTTCTCTTCTTCTTCTTCTTCTTCTTCTGCAACTATCTGGAAAGCAGGCCGAGTTCTGACGGCGGCTCAAGAGTGCGTGTTTAGTTTGATTAGCGGCAGGATTTTTCCTCTGGGGGATTTCAGGCTCTCCCGCAGGTTTTGGAAGCTAAAGCCGGGTTTCATCTGAGGTCGGGGTCGGGATTCATTTTGTCAATAGCAGGAGAGGCCACTCACTTGCACGGTGGAGTGTGATTGCTACGGGATGTGGTTGTAATGCATGTGCAGCAGAACAAACGTGTTTTATAAGCTTTGTAATTTATATCGCATAGTGTATAGTATACAAATGTAGCGTGAATTCTGTTTCTAGCTAGTAACAACATCCAATGCCTGAAATTGACTGTATACTATAAAGTGTGAATTTGGGGGAGCACTAAATAATGACATTAGCTTTTTGTATTTTAAGTAGTTTAAATGAGGGATGATAATTCTTCTATGTTTTACGCAGGTGTCTCATCATGAATATCAGATATCAGAAAGTAAACTTCAACAATCACAAAGCAGCTTGTGATTTTAAGAAATGATCACAAACGGCTAAAATCCGCACAATCCTTTTCACCTGTAACCAATGAGTTGTTTTATTCGTTGCCAAACCGTCCCGATCGATCGTTTACCTGCAAATAATCAAGATTAACAATCGATTAATGACGAACAACCCAGTCGCCGTTTTCAACATTCGTTTCGTGTGGCAGGAGCAGATCTCCACTTCATCAGTATGTGTGAGATGTTGTTGGACGTAGTTGTTGTTGCCCCCCCCCCCGTCTCCCCCGTCTCCCCCCCCCCCTCCCCTCCCGGTGCAGTGCCGCTGATGCTCGCTGCAGTTTGCCAGTGAACAAATCAGCTGCTGTGGACCAGTGAATCTGCCGCTGCGTGCGTCCACATACTTGTGTTTGTGTTTGCATGCATCACGCACACCACCGTGTGTGTGTGTGTGTGTGTGTGTGTGTGTGTCACTGAGGCTACCCGGATAACGAGAGCTTAGCTTTAGTCAAGCAGCCAAGCGGAGCAAAGCTGAGGGCGTCCGACCACCGCTGTCTGTGCTGGCCAAGCATCAGCAGTAAGGCGGCCTTTGGCTAACAGAGACAATTAACGCCGAGTCTTTGACGGGTAATGACTAAAAGACCAGGGGCAGTGGGCGTCTGTGGGTGAGATAATCTCCCCGCTACACCTTGCCCCGCCAACAAATTGCCGAGCCTCGCATTTGGGGGGGGGGGGAAGAGAGAGAGATGGAGGGCAAAGGGGAGAGGCAGGAGAGGTGTTTTGGGCCACAGCGGGTGAGTTGGGGGGGGGGGTGGAGGATAGGAAGAGGTGAGCATCGCTGGGGGGGATTAGCTGTGTTTTCATGTTCTTTCTGTCTTTCGGATTCACTGGCTGGACAAAGGAGCATAAAGTCCTTCCCTTCGGCCTCAACAGGATTGTTCTTTTTGGGATTTATTTGAACTTTTACTGTCTCGTCGTCATTTTTTGGATCGTTTCGTTATTTCTCCCTCCCACCCGACTTGAATCGGAAATGACTTCAAATGCATTTGTCGACCAATAACGCTGTTAGATCGCTAGGAGGTCGTATTGTTTTTAGACCGGATGCGTGGACCGAACAAGTTATAGTCATTTGTTAAGTCCTTTGTTTAAAGGCCGGCACTGCGCACGTGAAACGCGCCGCTTCAGGTTCCTTTTTCAGTGGAGAAGCTCTGAGGCCTTTATTCTCTTTAAATCAGGCCATGTCACAGTTAGTTATTCTAGTCCATTCCATGCTACATCACATCAGACATTAGCATAATAGATCTATATCCATATTTCCATGTTTTATACATATATAATTTCATACATATCTTTGGTTTCATACTGTTACTCGAGTTCATGTTTTGAAATCGACTGGCGTTGGGATTTAAGTTTCAATAACATTAACAACCTCATTCAATTTTACACTTTCAAAAACGTTAATCAACACATGTCCTTGGATACGACACAACAAACAGCAGCATTAGCTCTACGACTGCCTCTGATATACTTGACCGGTGTAGCTCTTACAGGGATTAGGCCTTGTTAACTCTGCGTGTGTGTGTGTGTGTGTGTGTGTGTGTGTCTTGACTAATTGCGGTCTGTTGATTGAACACGGCTAATGACGCAATGATGGGCCATGAAACTAGCAGACGGGGTGAGGGGGGGAGAGCACGGCTTTCTCGCTTATCAAAATATTATTTCAATGGATTAATCCGTTTTTAATGTGTGTCTTTAGCGAGAGCGAGGCAGCAGAAATCTCCTCCTCTGTCTGCCCGGGCCGCCTCGCTCTCCTATCTCCCCCCCACCCTCCCCCCCTCTCAGCGCCGAGCCCCTCGAGTCTCTCATGCATTATGTAGTGATGATTATTACTTAATTACACATTAATAAATCCGCTTCATTTGCGGGACATTAAACGGGAGTCGAGCGCATATGACAGAGAGACGGAGCAGAGCAGGGACGCTTTGAGAAGGCGGGGGAGGAGGGGTGAGGAGGGGTGAGGTGGGGGGGGCACCTACTTATTTAGCGTTTATTTGGTTTGTCAGTGGAGTCAAATGAGCCCTTTTGAGTCCAGAGGAGGAGGTTTGGTTCCCCTTCGGTGTGTGTGTGTGTGTGTTGAGCCCAATGACATTATTTCAACTCCTCTCCGACCTTTGACCTCCGACCAAACTCACCGCCAGCTACCAAATGTTTGACCAGAAAATGACTCAAACATTTGGTCATAATCGATCAATTGCCTGTGCTTAATGTTGTTTTTCTGTCGCTTAAAACCTAAATGTACCGTAATTAAGGTTTTTTAAATATATTGTAAGAGGAGGAGACATTTTTCTGTTGCTTCATTAATCAAATAGTGGAATAATGGTCTCTGCTGTGTTCTGCTTTCCTACCTTTTAAACACTGTTTAGAGCTGTGTGGTAATTCATGTAAGTATGTGATTTAAATGTAATAAGAGACTCTGGGATATAATTATTCATTGCCTGGAGTTAGTTATTGTCAATTAACTGCTGAAGACTTTAAAATTAACAACCGCCAACCCGCCGAATGTGGGTAAAAGTTAATTGTGGTGGGAAATGTCGGGAAGTCAGACGACGGTTCGGCGGTTTGCTGAAACCAAAACACGCTCTCAAAAAGGCGAAAATGAAAAGAAACTGACCCCGGGGCAAACGGGAGGTCGGCGGGTCCGGGTGCACGTTTCAATTTTCGCTCATCTAAGCGCAGAGCTTCCTCTTCCGTCATCGCGTCCGGCTTCACCATTAGATTGATTTGCCCGTCACGCCACGCTCTCATTGGGCGACGAGACGTTTCGCGTGTGTTTTGGATTCCTCGCGTGTCCCGTTTTTTTTTTTTTTTTTTTTTTTGCGTGCACGTCAAGAGTTCAAATGTCACGGAAGCCGCTGGAGATGCGCCGCGCGCGGGGGAGGCCGATCGGGGGCGAACAAAGAAGCCGCCATTGGCTTTGCGTCACGGCCTGCTGGACCATTTAATGGCTTTCTGAGGGCGTTGCTTGAAAATTCAATTGACTCCCCAGCAGGCGGTGGATTTCAGTTTTTGGTAGTTGTTTTGTTTTAATAATGGGACCAAACAAGCTGATGTAATTAGGTGACCGGCTGAGCCCGGCGAGCACCATGCAGCAGACGTTATCGGACTCACGTCGGGCTGCACTCAATTAGAAGCAAATCGCCGCACGATCGAATGCTCTCGGAGCCGACCAGAGGTCAGTGAAGGGTCATTTTGCACGGAAGGCCCTTTGAGGCATCGCAGTGGGACGAGCACCGGTCTGAGTGACACCAACGATGTCTGACATCGTCACCCAGCAATACAAATTGCGTCCGGTCCCAAATAATGGACGGGAGACGGTCACATCGGTTTGCCGGGGTGATGCCCCCCCCAACTAACTCCTTATCAGCGGCCGGCCTGGCGTCACGGTGGACGTGCGCGTGGGAACGGGGCCGTCACGGGCCAGGACTGTGCCATTGTAGCGGCTTAGCTAGCCTGGTTTATCGGCCGCAAGCTCACTGGACCTAAACACACACAAACGCACACACACACACGCAGGAATCGCCTCCACAACAACGCAAGCTGCGGCAGCTAAAAGTGCATCAAATACGTGCCGCCTCGTGCGTTTTTCGCCCCCGCTCCACTTCTCCGTCCCGTCAACTTCTTTTTTTCCCTGTCTGTTCTGTACATTAAACATTAGTGGTGGGGGCAATTAGCAGTGCCCCTCTGCACACCTGGCTGATGCATAATATATCTATTGGGCTGCCCTCCC